TGTGCGTGCGTGCGTGCGTGCGTGCGTGCGTGCGTGCGTGCGTGCGTGCGTGCGTGCGTGCGTGAATGTGTACATGTCAACGATGCATAGTTCAATTAAGTCTCATCCACTCGCTAAATCCTGCATTTTCGCCATTCATCAGATTCTCATCATTAAAGCGTCAAAGGAGAAGGGCATACAGGTGACGTGCGAGGTGTCGCCGCACCACCTCTTCCTGACGGCGGCCGACGCCACGACGCTGGGGTCGCGCGGAGGCGTGAAGCCAGCGCTCGTCACCAAGGAAGACCAGGCCGCGCTGTGGGACAACATGGCCGTCATCGACTGCTTCGCAACGGACCATGGTTTGTGATCGTGACCTAGTACTATTCAGTAGTGATATCACTAGTACTATTCACTATAGACTGTCTGTGATCTCCTAGCACTATTTTAGCTCGTGTGGATCTTTTCAATGAGACTGCCTACTCCTTACGAGACCCCTACCGTGGTCTGTGACTTTCTACTTGTATTTACATATTAGATGTAGAGATGTAGTACTAGAGCATAATTACTCCTCATGTGAAATTTATGTCATAACCTACATTTAGGTTATATAACTAGCATATATATATATATATATAGAGAGAGAGAGAGAGAGAGAGAGATATTGGTGAGCATTGATTATTGTCACCACGGTATCTTCTGCTGGTGTGTGTTATTGACGTCTCGCGTATCCGTGCAGCGCCCCACAGTGTCGAGGAGAAGTTTTCCGAGAATGCTCCGCCAGGCTTCCCAGGCCTGGAGACGATGCTGCCGCTGCTGCTGACGGCGGTCAACGATGGCCGACTCACGATCGACGTAGGTTTATCGCTCTGCATGCTGTACTTGTAAACCACGTACATCCACGTACTGTAAACCACCGAGAAGCATGTGTTAGCGCTCAGAGCTCGAATGGCTGGATTCGGTTACATTAGATTAGACAGACAGACATGCTCGTTCACTTGCACACACACCCAACACGTGGACTGAGACAGATAGACTGACAGACAGACAGGCAGATAGACAGACAGGCATGCAGGCAGACAAACAGTCGTGCAGTCACATGGAGAGGCAGACATACAGGAAGATAGATACAGAACAGCATACATAATAACATCCGGCATGATCGAGTTGATATTTGAATTCACAGTTTTATTGTACAATAATAACTTTAAGAGGTTCACAATGAGAATGTATGTGGTATCTAGTTTTGAATGTAAATACCACGTCAAAGAATGCTATGTGAAACTATGTACGGGTAGGAATTTCCACTGCAACGCACACTCATGGCTGACAGACCTGACCTTAAACGACCGTGTACGCTTTTCTCGCGGCTCGTTCACCCGGTGCTGGCATTGTAGGACATAGTGGAGCGTCTCTACACGAACCCCAAGAAGATATTCGGCCTCCCCGACCAGAGCGACACTTACATCGAGGTGGACATGGACAGGGAATGGGTGATACCGCAGGCGATGGCGTTCACCAAGTCACGCTGGACTCCGTTCGCGGGCAAGCATGTGAAGGGGGCCGTGCGGCGCGTCGTGCTGCGTGGAGAAGTTGCCTACGTCGACGGAGAGGTGGGCTGCTGCTGCTGTTAGCTGGGCGAGAGAGAGAGAGTGAGATGTACTGATGAGTGAAAGGGAAGTGTAGCCATGTTGGGGGAGAGAATCATTGGTAGAGATAAAGAGAGTTGCATATATGCTCCACGCATGCTGAGAGCGAAATCAGTGAATTGCTAAAGCGAATACAAAACCTCGAAACACATCCAACCTCATTCCCGAGTGTATTCGTTCAGATGCTGCTGCCACCTGGCTTCGGAAAGGATGTCCGACAGATCACTCGCGGTTATACCAAACTGAGTGTGAGCATTCCTGCTATGACGATGGTTTCCGCTCCGGCGAGCCCCACAGGCGATGTTCGCAAACACGCTATGTTCTCTCCTCGACTCGGTGCAGAGTGCTTCGGGCCCGGCCCCAGTCCGGGATCGGCGGGTAACGACTCGCAGTTCCAGATGCAAGGTGAGTAGTGCAGTCAACTGGTGAGCTGAGTGACGTAGCCTAGGCAACGTGTGCACTAATGCCACCTAGTCGGTAAATTCTTGTCGTCATCGTCAAATTGTTGCCCCTCATTCTATTTTTAGCCTCACCTTTGACATCGTACAGGAGGCGTGAGCTATTGCCATGCGGTCGTCGTCCGCGCGCTTCGGTCCGTCCGTCCGTCCGTCCGTCCATTTGTCGTCAACATTTCGTTCGTAACGATAACTCAGCAACCGTTTCGGCCCACTTTGTTTGGAAATTGGCTATTAGTTGCTTACTGCCTATGCCTCCCATATTAAATCGTTCTTATTGAATGCACGCCAGTCGACTACTTTCGCCCAGCCACGCGCAAGTTTTTGCAAAAAATGGCGAATTCGCCATTAGGTCAGTTCAGGGTTTAACGGATTTTGCCCTCATTTTTTGATATGTGAATGAATAAGGGCTAGGGGTTTGCATATTTAAAAACAAATTATGCCAAATTTAGGGTTATAACCGTCTGGAATGATCATACGCCCACCTATTATCAATTCAGACACAAATAACGAGTCCCTGTGCGTGTGGGGGCACACTCGTCTGCGTTCGTTTACAAGATTTGCATTCTGACGATATCTTTAAGTGCAGAAATTTGGTACTTTCCTCTCCGACTCTGCCGCATAACAACGTCTATATTCATGATATTAGCAGTAAAAGATTTACAAAACATGTCGAAACGCAGAGTACCTATGTATATTTCAAACTGCATTCCTACAAAGCGCGGCTATAGCGCCATCTATGTCACAAATTGGTGCATTTCATTTTGGTTTATAAAAAAAAACTAATTTTATTGCGATATACAGATTTGGCAATCGTTTCTATAAATGGCTACGTGCGCAATGGTTGCCCCTATTTAAACTGACTTTTTACTTACTCACTCATTTGTGTCCTTTTTGGCTGCGTGCAGCTAAAGTGTCCATTGAAACACTTTCATTTATATTCTATATCAGCGAGTTTACCATAATAGGTTCCCTATTTGTGTCTACTCCGCATTATATGGTGTTCCCTATTCTGTGTCTGTGCTTCATAGTTTATTCGTATATAGTTTATATATGCTTAGCCCATCTATCTGCCTCACTTCTTCCATTCTTCCTGCACTTACAGTTAATTCAGTACCCTGTACGAATGGGATACGTACATTTGTTCAAGGGTTTACTTTGCTTACTTTTTATTTTACTCGCCACCTGTTTCTACTTGCTCCTATCTCTTTTCAGTATGTCCACCTCCTCATTCTACATCCCTGCCCGCAGTGTTAGCCGCTTATTCAGTATGGCCCCTCCTCATGTCTACATTACCTGCCCGCAGTGTTAGCCGTCATTCAGTATGTCCACCTCCTCATTCTACATCCCTGCCCGCAGTGTTAGCCGCTCATTCAGTATGTCCACCTCCTCATTCTACATCCCTGCCCGCAGTGTTAGCCTCGCCTCATTCAGTAATGTCCACCTCCCTCATTCTACATCCCTGCCCGGCATGTTAGCTGCGTCATTCAGTATGTCCACCTCCTTCTTCTAACATCCCTGGCCCGCAAGTGTTAACCGCTCTTCAGATATGTCCACCTCCTCATTCTACATCCTTGCCCGCAGTGTAGCCCCTCATCAGTATGCTCCACCTCCTCATCTGACATCCCTGCCCCGCAGTGTTAGACCGCTCATTCCAGTATGTCACCTCCTCATATCTACATCCCTTCCTGCAGTGTAGCGCTCTCAGTAGTCACCTCTCAGTCTACAATCCCTGCCCGCAGTGTTACCGCTCAGTTCAGATATGTCCACCTCCTCATTCTACATCCCCTGCCGCAGGTTAGCCCCTCATTCAGTAGTCCCCTCCTTCATCTACATCCCTGCCCGCAGTGTTAGCCGCTCATTCAGTATGTCCACCTCCTCATTCTACATCCCTGCCCGCAGTGTTAGCCGCTCATTCAGTATGTCCACCTCCTCATTCTACATCCCTGCCCGCAGTGTTAGCCGCTTATTCAGTATTCCTACTAGTACTGCCTCACTTCATCTACATACCTTTTCATATATGAAGTTTCGCTTATTATATTATTATATTATTATTATTATTATTATTATCATTATATAATGTTATTGATTTGTGTAGAAACGTACAGTTTATTATATTATTGTTTGTTTAATTGTTATCATTATATAATGTTATTTGTATTTGTAGAAACCTACAGCCAGGTTCTGACTGAGCTAGGACAGGGTGACGGGCCGCGCACGTCGCGCCAGCAGAGGAACGAGTCTCTGACGTTGGTGGCCCCGCCGGGCCTTCCATCAGTGCTGCCGCGCGCACTACCTCACGCGCGCAGCGGTACAACTCACGGCATCACCGGCAAGCACATTCTCTCTGCGACATCGCTGACAAAGGAGCAGGTATGCGCGCCGTCGTCATAGCGATCGTGTCTGACGTCGCGCGGTGTGAATCACGCGATGGCTGTTTTTTGTGCAGATATATGCCTGCCGGATTAGTTCTGCACGGTTGAGCATCTCGAGTGCACTTGAATGTTAATTCATACAGAAATGTATTAAATATGTTATTTTATTGCATGATGTAGTGTGTTGCATTAGTGACAGCGCAATGCGAGAAGTTTTATAATCACCAGCCTGCTTGAAGTGTTTGGGATGTAGCTTACGTTAATCAGTATTGTGATAGGGCCATTCTAAAACGTGGTATTTAGTAACGGAGTGCTGCAAGTTGCAATTTGACATGATATGGTGTGTATATGCGTAAAAACAGGTGAATTAGTCTAGCTGTGACAGTATACTAAGCCCACCCGATTGTTGTGCTCGTTATGTGGAGCCATAGCTTGACAGAATTGGCAATAATATCTAGGTGAAGCAAAGTTATCTTGCTCAGACAGATAGTTGTAGTTCAATGTTTGTGATGCGTCAGTAACTGCTAGCAAGAAGAAATGGATATCAGGTCTGTCAGATGGATATGGATGGGATGGGATCTGTCGTTATGTTGTTATGTTGTTATGTTGTCATGTTATTATATCATGTTGTTATGTTGTCATGTTATTATGTTGTTATGTTGTCATGTTATTATATCATGTTGTTATGTTGTCATGTTATTATATCATGTTGTTATGTTGTCATGTTATTATATCATGTTGTTATGTTGTCATGTTATTATATTATGTTGTTAT